TACTTCTCAAACCACTCCCTCTGGCAAAATGCCAGGCGCCATCCAGACTTGTTTACAGACTCTAACATTTGCCAGGCGCCATCCTGACTTGTTTATAGACTCTAACACTGCACCTTCAACACATGGACCTTTGAGAAATTTCAATATCCAAAATTTCTATATCTATAGCAATGACGAAACTGCTTTCTCACACAGGTGTCCCTAGTGGGCTTCCTATTCCTTCTGGGCTTATACATCTCGTCCCTGGCCTCCTGTATGGGAGGACTCTATGGAGCTCCCCGGATCCTGCAGTGTATTGCCCAGGAGAAAGTGATTCCTGCACTTGCCTGTCTGGGACAAGGGGTGAGTGACCCTTTTTATTGAGAAACGGATTTTTCTGTTAACCCAATGTTGACTCATAAATTGCTTAAGTTTTTCTGATTACAGCCTCTGGTCAAGTTCTTTAGGGTAGGACAAGTGAGAGTGCAGAGGTCATTTCTCTCAGCTCTGTCCTCTGGCTGGCTTAGGCTGGAACCAATTAGATGAAACATCTTAAATGTCACCGCCACATGGCTCCTTAACTCCAACATAGCTAACTAACTCGTCATAGTAGCTTGGGCCCTAGCAGCAGGGAAGAGAATTGCCCTCTCATTTAATAAAAAAGAATCCTGAATCCTCCGTGTTTAGCATAAAAGGGGAGCTGGTCATGAGGGGAGCTGGTCCTTGCAGGTCTAACTCCCCCTTGACGCTCATGTTGTCCTGGGGGTTGCTGATTGATGATTTCCCACACCTCTGGATTCTGGGCTGTCTTAACCACCATGACCCAAACCTTGACTGACACAGAGTAGTTTGGTTGAGTCATGRCTGGGATGATCAAAAGAGATGTTCCTAAAACCTAGGGGAATGACAAAAGAAAAATAGACATGGAGAATCCCCATGATCTACAAGTTTTAGCTTGTTTTTGTCTTGGGGGGATACCCCCAGCTTCTCCTGATTCCCAGCCTCCGTGTTGGGAGGGCACATGAAAATCAGCTGTAATTACCTCCTTGACCTTCATCTGCTTCTTTTTGGCATGGCCGGGAGGATGGGTGACTGTCGTCTCTACTACATTCCATGTGTGATAGTGATATGACTTTTATTTTATTTTTCTTCCACTTCATTTTTTTTTAATGAGGTGAGATAAACACAGGGTTTAAAACTAAAAGCAGAAAGTATACATTAAGAATTTTTGCTCCTATCATGAGTCTTTCTCTTTTCCATAGCCTCATCCTGTAGTCACTGCTTTTCTTAGTTTTTTWAAAAATTTTCTCTTTCTACACTTTTTATTGGTATATTATAGTTGTTCATAATGATGGAATTTGTTTTATTTATTTTAAAGTAGGCTGCTTTTTGACATATTATATACAAATGGAGCCCACTTGTCATTCCTCTGGCTGTACATGGTGCACTGGCACTCCAGTAGTATAAGCATACATGTATATAGGGGGATAATGTCTGCTCATTCTACATACCCACATGCCTAGTTTTTTGAGGAACCTCCATACTGATTTCCATAGAGGTTGTACTAATTTACAATCTCACCAACAGTGTCCTTCCCATACCCACAGCCCCACCCCTCCCCTAACTCCCCTCTATACAAACCAAAGTTYCTTCATTCTTCCCAATCCCCCTGCCCCACTGTGGATCAGCATCCTCTTATCAGAGAAAAATTCGGCTTTTGGTTTTTTGAGATTGGCTTATTTCACTTAGCATGATATTCTCTAGTTCCATCCATTTACCTGCAAATGCTATGATTTCATTTTTCTTTAAGGCTGAGTGATATTCATTGTGTGTATGTACCACATTTTCTTTATCCATTCATCTGTTGAAGGGTATCCATAGTTTAGCTATTGTGCATTGAGCTGCTATAAACATTAATATGGCTGCGTCACCGTAGTATGCYGATTTTATGTCCTTTGGATATAAACCRAGGAGTGGGATAGCTGGGTCAGTGGTGGATCCATTCCACATCTTCTGAGATATCTCCATACTGCTTTCCATAGCTGTTGCACCTAATGATGGGATTTGGTGTTACATAATCATACATGCATGCAAAGTAACAATCTAATTTGACTCCCCAGCACTTCCCCCTTCCTTTCCTGCCTCACACCCCTTGGTTCCTTTCTTCTATTCTAATGATCTCCTTTTGATTTTCATGGGATCCTCCCCACCCCTTTCATTTCCTTTTTCCTTTCTAGCTTCCACATATGAAAGTACATGACCCTTGACCTTCTGAGTTTGGCTTATTTCACTTAACATACTCGTCTCTAGTTCTATCCATCTTCCTGCAAATGACACAATTTCATTTTCTTTATGGCTGAATAAAACTACTGTGTATGTATACCACATTTTCCTTATCCATTCATCATCCATTGATGGATACCCAGGCTGGTTCCATAATTTGGCTATTGTGAATTGTCTGCTATAAACGTGGGTATACATATATTACTATAGTATCATGATTTTAATTCTTTAGGATCAATACCAAGGAGTGGTATAGCTGGGTTATATGGTAGTTCCATGCCTAGTTTTTTGAGGAACCTCCGTACTGATTTCCATAGAGGTTGTACTAATTTACAATCTCACCAACAGTRTTCTTTTTTCTCCACATCCTCTCCAGCATTTATTATTGTTTGTATTTTTCAAGGGAGGAGAGGCAGCAGGGATCCAACTCAGGAGTGCCTAACCACTAAGCCACATCCCCAGCCCTTTTATATTTTGAGACAGGGTCTCCTTAAGTTGCATAAAGCCTCACTAAGTTGTTGAGACTGGTTTATGAACTTGGACCCTTCTGCCTCAACCTCCCAAGTTGCTGGCATTACAGGCCTGCACCACCATGCCCAACTTCTTTCCTTAGTTTTTTAATGATTTTTTTTCTTTTCCAAAAGATAGTGTTCTCTGTACATTGTTCTGTACCTTGCTTATTTTTTTTCACTTTATGTACCTAGGAATCTTTTTTTAAAAAATACAGACAGAGAGAACTTTTTTGTTCTTTTTCCATCATGAGGATACGCCATAGTTTAATCAGTTCCCTATAGATTGATACTTGAGTGGCTTCCAGTAAACAGTGTTGCAATGAATAATTCTTGTGTGTGTGTGTGTGTGGGTGTGTGTGGTTTTGCATATGTGGTTACATTTTCATAAGTAGGATTGCTGGGTCAAAGGGTAAATTCATTTTTAATTTTAATAGATCTTGCCAACAAACCTACCATGGGATGTTTATCATTTTGCATTTTTTGTTTATTTATTTGTTTGTTTCAGTTCTGGAGATTGAACCCAGGGAAGCTCTACCACTAAGATATATCTCTAGCCTTCTTATGCGGGCACGTGCACACACACACCCATATATATATATATATATATATATTTAATTAATATTTATTTTTTAGTTTTAGGTGGACACAATTTTTTTAATGTGGTGCTGAGAATCAAACCCAGTGCCTCACGCATGCTAGGTGAGTGCACTACCACTTGAGCCACACCCCCAGTCCCTCTAGCCTTTTAAATTAATTAATTTTAAAAAATTTAAGACAGGGTCTCTCTAAATTGCTGAGCATGTCTTCAAACTTGTGATTCTCCTGCCTCAGCCTCCCAAGTCACTGGGATTAGAGCCATGTGTCACCATGCCCAGCTCATTTTTTTACTTCCACCAGCAGTGGGTGAGAGCCAGTACCACTCTTAGACTCAGGCCAAAAGATCCTGCTTTATAAGACTTTTATAAGACTCTGCTTCTTTGTAAGGCCAAAGGAACCTGCCCACCTGGATCCTATGTCCCTGCTCTAGACCATGTCCAGGTGTGGTGTCCTTAGAATTCCTTGCCCACATGGCCCCCTGTCAATTTCCAGGATCCACAAGGCCCTCTTCTTTTCTAGGGCCCAAGGTGTGGACAGAGGGTCCACATATACGTGTGAGGCCCCCCTGGTATGGTCTGAGAAGAGAAGCTGGTGGGCTCTGAGCTGGTGCCACACATGGCCATCTTTCAGTGAAGAGGTCTGAGTAATGCAAAAATTCTGAACTTGAACCTGACCTTCCTCCTCATGTTTGCTTAGGAAGGACATTAGAACATATTTAGTTTAACAGGTTGTTAGTGAGGCTCAGAGTTGTAAATATTTAGACGTTGGGTGTATAGAACCCCATTTGCGCTCTTGCCTTGGGCAAGAAACACAATTTAACAAGGATTCTTCCCATAGCTCATTGCCAAATGTGCATTTTTGCAAATCGTATAGTGAGAAATGGTACATTTGGAGACTGATGTTTGCATTTCTTTAATCTGAGCGAAGTTGAATATCCTTTCCTCTGTTTAAAAGCTATTTTAATTTTTTTCTGTGTTTAATTGGTCATTTTCTTCTTAATTGTTAGGGGGTCTTTCTTTGTTAGGAAGAGTAACTGTGCTATGTATTACAAATGTTTCTCCTAGTTCTCCTTCTTTTAGCTTTTTTTTTTTTTTTTAATTTTTAGCAGAGCTGAGGTTCAAACCCAGGCCCTTGTGCATGCTAAGCAAGAGCTGTACCACTAAGCCACACCTCCAGCCCCTTGCAAAAGCTTTTTTATATAGAATTAAATCATATTAGCTTATTTTCTTTTTTAATGGAGGAAGAGTAGCAATTTACATTTTTGGAGCTATATTCAACATCCACAAAAAGAGCATAAACTCAGTATAAACTGTTTCAAGAACAACTATGAAGTGAACACCCTGTAGCCTCCACCCAGGAACCCTGCCTGCCAGCCCTGTTCCTCCCTGGTCACAGCCCTTCCCTCTCATTGCTGTGGCCAATGTTGATAATAATTTCCTTGCTTTCTTTAGGGTTTTTCTTGGGGATCAGCAAACTTTTTCTGCAGCACTTGAGGTGCTGCAGGACATGTGGTAGTAGTCACCACTGATCAGCTGCTGTTGGAGCTCAAAAGTAGCCACAGAGATAATACCTAATACTTTATTTATGGACCCAAATTTGAATTTCATGTAATTCTCACATATCACACAATGTTATTCTTCTTTTGACTTTTTCCTCCCAACTGTTTAAAACTGTAAAACCTTTCTTAGCTCATAGCATACATCAATAGGCAGGGCTAAATTTAGCCTAGGGGTCATAGTTTGCAACCCCTGACTTGTTTCCTGTGTATGCATCTCTAAACACAAATTTGCCTGTTTTTGAACTTTAAATACAGGTTGAGCATCCCTTATCTTAAATGCTTTGGTCCAGAAGTGTTTCAGGTTTTTTTTCTGGACTTTGGAATATTGGCATATATGTAATGAGATAGCTTTGGAGTGGGCCTGTAGACACAAAATTCATTTATGTTTCATATATATCTGTGCACATAGCCTGGAGGCAGTTATAATTTTATGCACACAATGAAATTTCATGGTATGGAATTTTGCACTTGTAGTATTATAACAGCACTCAAAAAATTTCAGAGACGTAGAATTTTTGCATTCGGGATGATCAGTCTGTAAATGGAGAGAGAGAGAGAGAGAGAGAGAGAGAGAGAGAGAGAGAGAGAGAATGTGTGTGTGTGTGTGTGTGTGTATTCTTTTGTGGCATGCTGTTTCCTCACTCACTGTTATGATCATGAGAGTCATCCTCAGTTTGCTTGTAGCAGCAGCTTGGTTGTTATTTGGGGGTATTATGGACAGTGCCATAGTCTGTCTACTCTTTGTAGACTTCCTCCAAATTGTATTCCATTAGTGGAATTGCAAGGTGTGCATATATTTACTTACTAGATACCACCTCTCTCTCTYTTTTTTTTTTGAAGTAGTTGTACTAATTTACACCCTTATCAGCAGTGGATAAGAGTTCCCATTATTCTGTAGTTTTGCCAGAACTTGATATCATGACACTTTTACATTTTTGCCAATCTGGTGGTATCTAGATGGTATCTCACTGTGGTTTTAATTTATATTTCTCTAATTGCTAGTGAGGTTGGGCTTGATTTCTCTCTCCCTCTCTCTTTATAGCACTGGGGATTAAATCCAGGAGTGCTCTGCCACTGAATTACATCCCCAGCCCTTTCATTATTTTTCTTTTTGAGACAGTCCCACTACATTGTCTAGGTTGGCTTCCAATTTGCAGTCCTCCTGCCTCAGCCCTCTGCCCGCAGTAGTGGGGATTATGGGTGTACACCACCTTGCCCGGCGGTGTTTCCTATGTTTAAYGGGCATTCTTTTGTAAGGTATTTGTTMAAATCTTTTACTTGTTTCTTTGTTTACTGGGCTGTGTTTTTCCAACTATCTTTCTATGTTCTAGATACCTTTTGTCAGTTACATGCATTACAAATATATTTTCCATTCTGTGGCTTGTCTTTTCTTTTTTCTTTCTTTTTTTTTAAATATCTTTTGGTGAATAGAAGTTCATGTTGGCCTATTTAATCAATTCAGAATCCACTCTTATCAAGGTCCTGGCCTGGAACACTAGCATTTTCTTCAGCTTATCCAAGACCCTCCTTTTAAAGTTCTTTAAGATCCTGAGAATTTATTTTGGGTRGGTTTACTAGTAGAGCCTGAAAACAGCTATAACAAATATACCCCAAAATTTAATTCTCAAACACAGGAAAAGTATATCTTTATTACTTTTTTAATTAATTAGTTTAGAATTGTACTCTAAAGGTCTGGGCTAGGAGTTTAGGTCAGCAGGGGCTCTGATCCTCAGACCTGGCAGATGGTAACCTGCCATCCTCAAACGTGGCCTCTGGGCTGGAGGAACATATGAAGGAGACTCATAAGCCAGATCTGGAGATGGCTTACAGGCCTTCCCCCACCTTCCAGACTGCTAGCAGTGCAGGGGGCCTGTCCACCCCTCCCACTCTCTCTGCTTCCTTGCCACCATGAGTTGTACAGCTTCCCCCTGCCACACCCTTCTCCCACGATATCCTGCTTCACCTTGGGCCGAGAGCAATGGAGTCAACTGTGCGTGGACTGAGACCTCTGTTACTGTGAGCCAAAATACACTTCTCCTCCTCTGAGTTGTTATTGTCAGGTATTTTGGTCACAGCAACATGAAAGAAAGCTGACTGAAACACACCATGAGTTGGATATTATTATCCCAGGTTCATAGATGAACAGTCACATGGAGAGAAGTAACTGAGCTATTAGGATTTTGGTTTCTTTCATAAATTCTGAAGTGATGGAAACTTTCTATCTGAAATTTCAGAGTCCTGAATGTTATTTTTGTTTCTGCAGAAAGGGCCAAATAGGACACCTGTAGCAGCCATCTGCCTGACCAGCTTGGTGACCATGGCTTTTGTCCTTGTGGGTCAGGTAAATGTTCTGGCACCCATCGTCACCATCAACTTCATGCTGACGTAYGTTGCAGTGGACTACTCTTACTTCTCCCTGTCTATGGGTCCCTGCAGCCTTCCTCCGGTGCCTGAGCCTGTGCTTAGGGAGACCTCAGAAGCTCTCCCCTGTTCTGAGCACCTGCTCTTAGAGAAGGCTCCCAGCTATGGCTCTGAGGGCTCTGCCCAAAGCCTCTTTGAGGGCACTCTACTACAATTCACCAAGGACATGGATCAGCTCCTCCAGCTAACCAGGAGGCTGGAGAGTTGCCAGCCCAGGCCCGGAGGCRGTGATAGGATCCCAGAGAGTCAGAAGAGGAAATGCAAGAAGGTCATCAAGAAGAACCTACAAGATAGCTTCCTCTTGAACCTCAAGTCCCCGACTTCCTTCCCTACTGAGGGCTCTGACGGGTTGCCTGCTGTCTCYGGGGAGTACCAAGAGTTCTACCAGAACAAGCTGACTTCCAGGAGTGAAGGGATTCTGCCTGGGGAAATGCATGGGCAACAATTTGTCCCTGAGCCAAGCAACCAGCCTAGGGTGAGTGGAGAAGGTAAGTGCTTTGGAATCACACTGATTGACCACTGATGGCCTTGCCTACCCAGCTTTCACAGTTTTTATAACTCTTGGTGGATTTGTTTGATATTTATTTTAGAATGTTATATTCAGGTACCAGCTGAATTACCTATAATTCAGATAGTGTAGGTTAGTTTCAAACAAAAATTTGTATCCACTCCTGTTTGTAAAGAGCTGGAAGCCAGGGCTAGTAATTGAATAGCAATTTCTTTTCACTCAAAAATCAGCTGAGATATAATGCCAATRTGAATGAAACCAATTTCTCCTTTCAAGAGAAGTGGAAATGTGTTGGAGTCAATACCCTGGCAAGGACCCAGTGTGAGTCTTTGGAAGATGAATCTTTCAAACCAGGCATGACAGGATGGGGAAAAGGCAGATAAAGGAACACAGTTTTTCTTTGCTGTCTCAGACCTATCAGCACTGAGACACCAAGAGAGATTCTCAAGAAGCTTAGAGGACATGGGTAAGAGAGAACTCATAATGTTGGARAAGCTCCATAATCTAGGTGCTTTACGTCTTGCAATGGTTTGGAGCTGGAATATCCTCTAAAGGTCCATGTGTTAAAGGCTTGATCCCCAGCAAGGCACTGTTGGAACCTTTAAGTGAGGATGGGCTAATGGGAGGTCTTTAGGTTACTGGAGGCTTGCTCTTGAAGGTGATTGTAGGACCCGTCCCCTCTCTTTRTTCTCTTTTGCTCCCTGGCTAGTACACATGCGTTTAACTGTACCATGTGCTCCTGCCATAATGTGCTACCCTCCAYAGGCCCAAAGCAACTGGGCCAACCAGTCATGGATTGGAACCTCCAAAACTGTGAGCTGAATAAACATTTTCTCTTTATAAGTGGATTTTCTCAAGTATTTGTTACAGTGATAGAAAACTGAGGAACACACTCCTATCATTTCATGTAATATTATAGATATCAGCATTTTCTGTTTTACAAATGAAGACTGTAAGTCCTAGTGAGTTCACAGAAAAGTCTCAGAGCTGATTTTTTGTACACTGAATGTCACTCCCAGTGTTCAAAGCTTATGTTCTTCCTTCTGTAGTACACTATCTCTTGAGATCTGTTTAGACAAGTGTGAGCAAGGAGGAGGAGGCAAAAGACAGAAGGATATGTCYAAAAACACGTTGTCTTCTTCCATAAACCTGATTTCCTTTCTTTACCTCTAAATTGATGGGAAGGTTTTCACGGTAGGCATATTATTAAAAATTTTTAAGTTATTTTACTTTTATCAAATTAATAAGTATATATATTAATAAGCAAAATCATACTAAAATTAACATAATCATCCAGGCATGGTGATGCATGCCCATAATCCTAGCTATTAGGCAGGGGGTTGAGGCAGGAGGATTACAAATTTGAAGCCAGCCTCAACAACTTAGTGAGACCCTGTCTCAAAATTAAAAAAAAATAAAAAGGATGGTGATGTAACTGAGTAATAAACTCAGTGGCAAAATGTCCCTGGGTTCAATCCCTAGTACCAAAAATAAACAAACAAACTAACAAGTTGATGTAATGAAAAATAGTAGTTCCCACTCTTGCATACCATCCCTTTTACCCTTCACTAGGGTAAAACCCCACTTCCAGACCAAAAAACTTGGGACTCAAACAAAAAGTAGCCTCTTCTGTTAACTTTCCTATTCCTAAATAATACATTTGTATTGCTACGTTAACCTGTGTCAATTTCAGACATCATCTTTTGACTGACTTCCTGTGATGTAACCAAGGACTTTTTCATGCCACTTTGGCTTCTCATCTAATGCCTGCAATTTAGCTGTAYCATAGTTGTATTTTAAATTAAGTGCTAGCATTCATATTATCATGACTAAATAAATATTGCTTAATTCTGAGCCATATATTGTACTGTGATCACGTTTCCTTTTTTATGCAACTTTTTCTGTTTCCTGGGGTTTTTAATTATCTGTCTTTTTAAATTTTGGTTTTCTGTCATCATTGTTCTCTAAAGGCTCTTGTAGATTCTCTAAATGCTCTAAATGCTTCACCCATGCAGCGCAAGCGCTGTACCACCGAGCCACAGCCCCAACCCCTATTAATTGTATTATTATTTTTTTTTAAATTATCTTTTAGGTGCCTTTATTTATTTATTTATTTATTTATTTTTGTGTGGTGCTGAGGATTGAACCCAGGGCCTCACATCTGCTAGGTGAGTGTTCTACCATTGAGCTACAGCCCCAGCTGCATTAATTGTATTCTTGATGGCTGCTATCCTGACATGTGTAAGATGAAATCTCAGAGTAGTTTTGATTTGCATTTCCCTAATTGCTAATGATATTGAACACTTTTTCATGTATTTGTATTTCTTCTTTTGAGAAGTGTCTATTTAATTCATTTTCCCATTTAATAATTGGGTCATTTGATTTTTTGGTGTTCAGCTTTTTGAATTCTTTATGTATTCTAGACATCAATCATCTGTGAGATGAGTAGCTAGCAAAGATTTTCTCCCATTCTGTAGGCTCTCTCTTTGTTTCCATTGCGTGAAAAAGTTTTTTAATTTGATGCCATCCCATTTTTGAACTCTTGGCATGACTTCCTGAGCTTTAGGGGTCCTATTGAGAAAGTTGTTGYCTGTGCCTGTATGCTGGAGTGTTGACCCTATGTTTTCTTCTAGGAATTGCATAGTTTCTCATCTGACTCCTAGGTCTTTGATCCAGTTGATTTTTGTGCAAGGTGAGAGATAAGGGTCTAGTCTCATTCTTCAATGTTTGGAGAGCCAGTTTTCCCAACACCATTTATTTTAAAAGTCTATCTTTTCTCTAATTATGTTTTTGGCACCTTTGTCAAGGATCAGATGACTGTATCTGTGTAGGTTTGTCTCTGTGTGTTCTATTCTGTTTAATTGATCTATGTGTCTGTTTTTATGTCARTACTATCCAGTTTTTGTTACTATAGCTCTGTAGTRTAATTTAAAGTGAGGTATTATGATGCCTCCAGCATTTCTTTTTTGGCTTAGAATTGCTTTGGTTATTCTGGATATTTTATTCAACTAAATKAATTTGAGAACTATTTTTTCTAGTTCTCTGAAGAATGTCATTGATATTTTAATGGAGATCGCATTGAATGTGTATATTACTTTGGTATCAGGGCCATTTTAAAATATTAATTCTGTGTATCCATAAACACAGGAGATCTTTTTTCATCTTCTGAGGTCTTCTTCAAATTTTTCTTTCYGTGTTCTATAGTTTTCATTGTAGAGTCTTTCACCTCCTTAGTTAGACTTATTCCTAGGTTGGTTGGTTKGTTTGTTCTRTTTGTTTTTAGTCTATTGTGAATTAAACTGTTTTTCTGATTTCTTTCTCAGCAGATTCATTGTTGACATATACAAAAGCTATTACATTTTTCTATGTTGATTTTGTAAACTGCTATTGCCAAATTTATTAGCTCTTTAATCTTTTGGTGAAGTTTTTTGAATCTTCTAGGTAGGAGATCATATTATCCGCAAACAGTGATAGTTTGACTTCTTCCTTTCTTATTGTTATTTCTTTTATTTCCTTCTCTTGCCTAATTGCTCTGGCTAGAATTTCTAGCACTATATTAAATAGGAGTAGTGAAAGTGGACATCCTTGTCTTGTTCCAGATTTTAAAGGAAATGCTTTCTGTTTTCCCCATTTACTATGAGGTTGGCTTTGCGTTTTTCATATACAGCCTTTATGATGTTGAGATAGGTTCTTTCTATCCCTTCAAGTGCCTCTCAATGCTCCCATTCTTCAGAAGTCTACCATGTCCATTTCTTTTGTTCCTTCTGTTCTGTGGCTCCCACTTTCCTGGTGCACTCTAGTCTGTTTGTTCTTGAGGCCTGCTMCCAAACTGTTGTCCTAGAAGTCTTCTCTTTACCACACCCATGTATCAGATCCAGGGAACAAAAATTTCTTGGGTCCAATATTGTGGTGGACTTTTGTCTTTTGTTGTTGTTCTGCCCAGCATTGGACTTGAGTTGGAGGAATTTCCAGTGTTATGAACCTCAGTGGAAAGCAAAGCAAGCCCTTCACACTCAAAACTGRAAATATCAGATACTCAGTTCTCTGGTTTCTCCTGCAGCCAGAGTTTAGGCACAAAACCAAGGCTCTGCTAATCAGATGAGTCCTCCCTAGACTTAGAATTGGGAACTGGAAACTTGAAGAAATGGAGAACTCTAAGGAACTTTCTAGAAGCATGARGGTAGCTGCAGGACAAGTACATTACTGGCTCCAGTGTCCAGGACTTCCAGGTCAGTGGTGCTTGCAGCAGTGGTGCCCCCCGTAGGCTGTAACATATGATTTTGAGTTTCCTTGGTTACATAGCCCTGACCTGACTCCCTGGTCTTTCCAACTATTCTCTTTTTAAGTTTTTGGTACTGGRGATTGAACCCAGGGCCACTTTACCACTGAGCTACATCYCCAGCCCTTTTTATTTTTTTATTTTGAGAYAGGGCCTCCTTAAGTGGCCAAGGGTCTCACCAAGTTTCAAGGCAGGCCTCAAATTGCAGTCCTCCTGCCTCAGGCTCCCARGTTGCTGGGAACAGAGGCATGTTCCATCACACCTGGCCTAGCTATTGTCAGAGGTTCATTATCCTTTTTTTAAAATTGTAGTCAAATATACTCAACGTATAATTTACTAATTTAGAGTACAATTTAGTGTTATTAAATATATTTATGATGTTGTACAATCATCACCATATCTATCTGGTAACTCTTGTAAAACTGAAACTCCTGGATCCATTAAACAATAATTCCCCTTCTCCCACCCTCCAGCCCTTGGCCTCCACCATCCTACTRTCTCTATGCTTTTGACCACTGTATTCTCATATAAGTAGAATCATACAGCATGTGTCTTTGTACTGGTCTGTTTCATCTAGTATAATGTCCCCAAGGTTCACCCCTGTTGTAGCATGTGTTAGAATCACTTTCTTTTTTAAGGCTCAGAAATATCCCATTGTATGAATATACCACATCCTGCTTCTCTGTTCATCAGATGGTTGG